TTCCAGGCGCATGTTCCCGGTGCTGAAGGTGAATGTGTCCGACCTGACCCCAACGCCATGTACTCCGTCTGCTGGACTTCGTGGCGGCCGACGGCCACCGCTGGAAGTACGTGAACGGGGAGTGGGTGCCGGGCGGCAAGCCCGAGCCGCAGGCGCCCAGCTGCGTCTACATCCACCCCGACTCGCCCAACTTCGGGGCGCACTGGATGAAGGCGCCCGTGTCCTTCAGCAAGGTCAAGCTCACCAACAAGCTCAACGGCGGAGGCCAGGTGGGTGCGCCGGGCGCGGGGCGCGGAGGGGGGCCTGGAGCCCCTGAAGGGACCTGCTTGCGGGGGGCGCCTTCTCCCTGGAGACCTGCAGCCCCCCTAACCCTAACCCTAACCCTAACCCTAACCCTGACCCCCTCAGTGAAGCCGTCAGTGTTGCCTTCAGTGACTCTATGGGGGTCACAGCACCACCTGGGGGATGTGGAGGGGCGCAGCCTAACCTGGCCGAGGGGGGCAGGTCTCAGGTGGGGGGCTGGGCATGTAGAGCCCCACTTCCCTGGGGGCAGAGCAAACACCTCCCTGGCGGTGGGCGGCCACTTCAGAGGTGAGAGGCACCACGTCCCAGCTGTCACCCGGCCCCGTGGCCTTCGATGCCGTGTAGCCCCTGGCACTCCTTCCTCCTTGGGGGGGGGGCGCCTGAGGGGAAACCCCCAGGAGCACTGGGAGCCATGGGCGGTTGGGGGGTCGGCATGGGGTGCCTTCTCCTCCACGGCAGGGCAGCGGGTGTCTGGGACCCCAATGGGACATGCCTCCACGCCGTGTTTGTGTCCCCCAGATCATGCTGAACTCCTTGCATAAGTATGAGCCTCGAATCCACATTGTGCGGGTGGGCGGCCCCCAGCGCATGATCACCAGCCACTGCTTCCCCGAGACGCAGTTCATCGCGGTGACGGCCTACCAGAACGAGGAGGTGAGGGGCGAGGGGGCGAGGGGGTGCGGGGGGGCCTGTTCCAGGCAGAGTCCCGGGAGGGGCGGCCAGTGCGATGAGTGTCCCTCAGACCAAACACCAGCGCCTTTACAAATAAGTGTGTTTTGTCACCAAATGACTTTTTATTTTTATTTTTAAAACATACTTTCATGGTTGATAGTATTACAGATATTGGCCATGCCCCCCGACCCCCCAGGTCTTCACCCCCTATTGCCCGTGCCCAGGGGCTGTGCAGTGAGTTTGTGGAAGTCCTTCGGTTTCTCTCTTCCCGTCCCCCACCCACATGGAGACGTGCCCGCCTGCTCCAGGCCTCCCGGCTTCGGGTCTCGTTTTGTCGTCAGTTCCTTTCGTTCATTAGATTCCACATGAGCGAGGTCCTGTGACACTCGGCTTTCTCGATTTTCAAATGATTTCCCACAAAACCGGGCAGAGGGGAGAAGGGTTTCAATAAGTCCTCGTGCGAGCATTGCCACCTGTGACTCTGTAACGGTGTCTGAACTAGAGGCGTCTACAACCTCCACAGGCAAGGATGTGTCAGACACTTAGGTAGAAGCCTGAGGCTTTCTTCAACAGGCTGGGGGGCGGGGGGGCAGCTCCTATTCTGGAATCTCCCTGAAAGGGGCACCCACGTCCACCTGGGACCCGGGTGCTGCCTAGAAACGAGGCGCTGCTAGTGCCCGCGTCCAGGCCGAGGCGGAGCTGTGGGTGTGAACCGCCCGCTGGAGCGAGCAGGTCGCTGTTTGCCGAGCGGCTCGGGTTCGAGCTCCGCGTGTTGGTTGATGCACAGAATGTTGTCAGCAGGAGGCCCAGGGTCTTGTGAATTCCACTTAGAAATGGGCCAGTAAGAACTTTCCATAAACGTGCTGTTCTGTTTTTGTTTTTAATTTATTTGTACTGATTTCAGAGAGGAAGGGAGAGGGAGGGAGAGAAACATCCATGATGGATCGGCTGCCTCCTGCACGCCCCTCATTGGGGATCGAGCCCACAACCCGGGCATGTGCCCTGATGGGGAGTCGACCATGACCTCCTGGTTCACAGGTTGATGCTCAACCGCTGAGCCACGCCGGCCGGGCCACCGTGCTATTCTGTATGAAATGGTGCCACTCCCCAGCCACTTGGACCCACCTGGGAAACTACCCCGGAGAGGAGTGGGGTCATATTTGGATATTTACACGGGACTCGGGGGGCCTCCCCTTGTCTTAGTGCCGCTAAACCTCCGGCTGTCGCCAATACACAGGACATGCGGCTTCTTGTTTTTCAGATCACAGCTCTCAAGATTAAATACAACCCCTTCGCCAAAGCCTTCCTGGACGCGAAGGAGAGGTGAGCGAGTCGCTGCCCCTTTGGGCAGAAACGAGCCGTAGCTGCGAACGCTGTTTTCCACGTGTTCTCCTCTCTGATGCTGCAATACGCTTTTTGGACAGAAGCGACCACAAGGACGCAATGGACGACCCCGGGGACGGCCAGCAGTCCGGCTTCTCCCAATGTACGGTTTGTCGCCTCTGCTGGGAGCGGGAGCGGAGCCGACCGGGTCTGTGTGCGGCGGGCAGACCCCTTTGGCTGGGAGAGGCTCAGGGCCCTGTGCTGCCTCTCCAGCCCCGCCGGGCCCGGGGCCTCGAACCTCTGCTCCCCCCACGGCACCTTCCAGGGAGGCCTGGGGGAGGTTCCCGCCTCTCTCCTCGGCCCCCAGGCGCCCCCCCCCTCCCCGGGCGGGACAGCCCTGAGACCTGGGGGTGGTTAGAGTCTGTGCGGCGGCAGGGGAGCCGGCTGTGGGAGCCGCTCTGGACGGTTCGCGTGTTGTTCCTGACTGAGGACTGCAGGGCCGACTGAGGAGCGATGCTTGGGAACAAAGGTGGTGTCTCCTTAGAGGCCCGGCTCTGGGAGGGCAGGTCAGCGCGCTGGTTTGGGGGAGACGCTGCTGAGGGGGCTGCTGAGGGCCAGGCGGCTCCAAGTCCCGCTTCCCCTGGGAACCTGTGAGCGAGCAGAGGGAGGCAGGTCTGATGGCGGCTGGAGGGGGAGCACCTGGTCCAGCCCCGCCCGGCGGGGAGG